AGGATCCAATATCCAGAACAAGAAGCTAGCACAAAAATGAGCACAAGTTGCGTGTGATCGACTAATTGAAGTACCTCTCAACTAAGCAACTTGAGCACTCTATTCCTATTCAAGCAAGCACAGCAATTTTGTCTTCGTGCAACGCAGTACAACTAATTTTTTTTGGAATTTAATAGTTGAACAAGGAAAATGGATAGGCACGAAGAAGGCAGTGGTCTTTGTTCAGACGTCAGTTGTTCTCAAAGATGCGAAAAGAAACGTTTACTAGCCGCCAGCTTGGGCCTTGAGTCAATTTCCTTGTATGCTGTTAATCATAGTAGCTGGTTTTCATTCTAGCCAACTGGCCGGCTGCCAAATGCGTCAAATCAAAAACTGAGCTCGCAAGTTTCTCACTTCTTGCTGGCTCCTAATCATTTTCATGATGTTATCAGTGGGAGAAAAGTCTGTGGGAATGAAATAAAACACCCGGAAAGATGATGAACACGTTTAAATTGTTGCCCATCAATATTACATCCCTATGATAATGAGAAATCAAGCATCAGGCTCAGATGTAATGAGGCTGCAGTCCAATCTATTTAACAGAATAAGTTTGGGCCATATCCGAGTTGTAAAAACTCAATTGTTGGGACTCACTGCAGATCATACTATATACTTCTATATACTTCCATTAGAAGTGAGAGTCCTGGAAAATCTTTTATTGGTCAATATTACCCCTAACTTGTTTCATTAATTTCAAAGCAAACCAATTAACTTTAATTTAATCACCCGAGTTACGTATTAACTATTGATACATATAACAGCGGATACATGCGATTCAAATTGAAGTTGTTCCCCTTCTCTTATAACCACTCTCTCCTCTCTACGAACAGAAGTGAGCAATTTGAAAACCCTGACCCTCTCGTTTCATAATCCAAAATCCTAGCAATTAAATCGTAAGCAATCAGTGGCTTTCTTTGTTATTATATAGGAATCTACCTGTAATTTAGGGTTAGATTCTTTGATTATCTGTGTGGATTATGTTGAAGATTATATTCTTGATAATCATTCACATAAGCATATGCATATTAAAAAATTGCATGAAAATCACTTCTAAAGATTCCTAATTTTACTTAAAAAATTAAGTTTTACTATACAATATTCAAAAAAATATTATCCTTTATTCCTTCTTTTTTCATATTTAGTTGAGCCGATATCAATCATTCTCCACCTTTATCTTTTTCCCAAGAAATTTCACAGTAATGTCTTCATTGTCTACATCAATTGTTATACCATGTTGGCATATAATAGAGAGCAAAAGACAAAGTAATAGTCCAGAAATATATTAGGATATACTTGGATCAATTAAATTATATTACTACTCATAACTGATATGCATCAGAGACAAAATGTGTTGACAATCTTAAACTATAAAACAGACTGTATGGGCCCTCTAACATAACTTTTTTAATGCGAGAAACCCTCAAGATTAATTTTGAAAATCTCTTGGAGCCAGGAATAAACAACTAACATGTTTGCAGTAGAAGATAGAGGAACGTAGTACATTCTTAAGAACTATTAATCTTTGCTTAATTTATTTATAATGACTAACTAACTACAATGCCTAGTACATTATTTTTTTATTGTGCGTTAAAGACATGTAGAGGACCCAGGTGAGTCTTCATCATAATGAATGTTATACAATTTAAGTATAAAGGAAAAAAGAGAGTTGATCAATGGTGAGTTGGTGAGAGGGAAACTCTAGAAGCTTAATTTGGATATGTGGATATATTATAGATGGAGATGGAGAATAGTGGTTTTGAAAACAGTGGGTGTGTGGGGGTACTTAATATGGGTTTTTTGTGTGGTTTTCTTTGTTCATATTCAAGATATTTGTGGTCATGTGGATATATATAGCTATAACATTGCTACTCTCTTTTGGTTTTGTGGAAGAGTTTGGGTGTAAAAAAAATTTATATTATCTAATCGGTTAAAGTAGAATCATATAAATTAAGTCTATACATGAAATTTATTTTAACCAAAACATATATGTAAGTATTATAATTGACATTGAGATCTAAGATACGTGTGAGATACTTTTAAACTTTTATACAAACAGTATCTATTTAAATAATAATAGTATAATTAAACTTTATGATCTGAAAAAAGATCAAATATACAATATAATTAATTGCTTTAAAATAATCTGATATAATCTAATAAAAAGAAAATAGGTGAAAGTGCTGTGAAAATTATTACAATTTTATAATTCATAATTTTTAAACAATCTAATCTAATCTAATCTAATAATCTAATTTAATAAGAATAAAATAACAAAGGTATATACATGTTTAAAGAGATGAAAGTGCTATTAAAATTATTATAATTTCTGGTCTGAAAAAAATTAAACAAACAATGTAGTTAATTGCTTTAAAATAATCTGATATAATCTAATAAGAAGAAAATAGGTGAAAGTGCTGTGAAAATTTTTACTATTTCTTAATATAAAAAAATTAAATATACAATATAATTAATTACTTTAAAATAATCTAATTTAACCTAATAAGAAGAAAATAATTAAGGCACATACTTATAGAAGGAGATAAAAGTGCTATGAAAATTATTGTAATTTATTGTCTTATATATATATTAGCATATGTGAGGATAATAATTATAAATATATTTATATTTAAATAATAATAGTATAATTAAAATTTAAAACTAATTATACAGTACCATGAACTACTTGAATTTTAGCCAGTGAGAGATTGCCACGTTGCCATGTTGTGTCCTCAGGTCACAACTGTTTGTTTTAATTTTCCTTTTTCATAATTTTGAGAATGACTTTTACCTCTTTAATTTATTTGGTGGATTTTGCAAATATCATGAACATATTATGTACATTTGTAGGTCTGCATTGTTCCTTGGTTTAATATTTAGGGCTGACATTATTTATCTTATTAATTTATTTGGTTTTTACATATACGACCTTCATCTTGTAGACATTTATAAATTTGGTATTTAATAATTTCATTCAGGTTCACATTTTAATTTAAACTATATCATTATCTTCATACTATGTATATCCAATAAGAATTCATCAATTTATCAACTTACTCTTACTTAATGGATTATGAATTAATATTTGAATTCCAAGGGTATTTTTGTCTACTAAAAGATTTTCCCGAACTCGTGGTTTAAAGGGAGTATGATTATGAACATAAATCAATGTTTTTAATGAAATTCAAGGAAAGCTCCTTTAGAAAAATGTATGCGATTTTTGTTTTTAAAATTGTTTAAAATTATTTCTTTTTTTTTCTACAGAATAATTGATGGCTTTTGGAGACCAAGGACAAGAAGAAACAAACTGCAAGAAAATTGTGAGTACATGAAAGCTTAGGCGTACCTAAAATTGTTCATATATGTTTTTTTTTTGGTTTTCGCATTTATATTTACCTTTGTGTCTTTACTTAATAAGCATGTTGCATGTTAATACTAAGATGTAAAATTTTTAGATTTAACTTCATATTGTTTATGATTGATATCGGTAGGTAGGAATGTTGAAAGATAATGTTATGATTTTGAATTTAAGCACAATCTATTAGTAAAGATATGATTGCACAAGGAAAATATCGTCACAAATTTTATTTGCATTATCTATATTTTTAAAATTCAACTGTTTGCTCATCCTTTATATTGTTTAACTTGGAATGGAGATCCATATATTGATTAAATTTTTGCTCGACGGAAAAGACATTTTAATTTTTTTCTAAAATATCGAGAGCTTTTATTACACTTTCTATATTTGATTTTATTTCCATTTAACTTTACGAGTGGATTCGTTATCAAGCCATTAATACAGATGCAGATGAGCATTTAATTTGATGTAAGTACTACTTGATATTTGCAGATAAATTGATGGGTTCGTGTGATTAAGCTTTGTGAACACGTGGGGGCCACACCCAGGTGAGAAAAATAGGAGCGAGACACAAATTTGTGTCTCACGGGCCAATCTCGCGGGGGTCACACCCACGAGGCTCTGTTTCTCTTCCTATAAATAGGAAGAGATGTTCCTAGGGTTTGTAGAGGAAAAATAAAAAGGAGGGTTTTGGCGGCTAGAAAAGAGAGATCTTGAGAGAACTTTGGAGAGATTTTACAAGAGAAATATCAATTTCTTTTGGGTAAAAATTAAATCTTCTTCTTTTGAGATGAGCTTGTGGATTATACAAGTCGTCGGTGTTCTCCTCATAGTAGAATCTCCCCTCCCCCTTCCCCGTGGACGTAGACAATTTTGCTGAACCACGTAAATCCATGTCTTTACTTTTTTTGGATGTTGGATATTGCTTGTAGGTTCTCTCGACAATTCAGT